AAATTTCATGTGCTTCTGTAAGTTCTGGTTTAACAGAAGTATTTCATGAAAAATTATGTCCTGAAGAAAAGAATAATTTTTAACAATGTAGATTTGAAAAATATTGTTATTGGAAAGAATATACATGTTAGGTTTTTAAACTAGTAATTAATTAATTTGATACTGGAAGATCAAAGGCCTAAGAAAGCATTAAATGTCCAGATATTAAAAATGAAGAAATAGGCTGTAAAGAAGATTTAACCACTTACAATTCAGATCAATACGTAACATTGATCCTAATTAGTCTTAAAAATGAAGTTAATTGGACAAATTAAACTTGTCTTAATTATACTCAATAATACACTAGATAGTATATTCATACTTAAGTTGAAGATGATTCTAAAAATTGCTAAATAACATTATGTTCAAAATCAGAATAAATTATATGCACAACTAATATAGAAAAATTTAATATAATTGATAGGATTAAGAGTTATGATGAAAAGAGAAGTGATTAATTACAAATTAAGGAAATACATTAGACAACTACATTTGATGATAGTACTATAAATAAAGTTTGCCCAAAATAATTCAATTTTCCATATGATCAAATTTCTTCTAACACTTGTAAAAGAGAAGAGATATCAATTCTTAACCCTTGGTGTTAACTATAAATGAACGTGATCAGAATTTGTGATAAATCTTTTTCATAAGCTCTTTGCCTTGAATTAAATTAAGAAGGATGTTTTTTTGATATAAATTAGGGAGGCTGTCTATATTTAACAAATAATGAACATAAGATACCTAATTGTTCAAGCATATCAAATAATTGCTATATAAGTTAAAGCAAGAATGCTATTTGTCAAAATGGAATTGTTGTTAAATAGCCAGGCCCTTCTTGTTTGAGTATTTAAAAAGATCAATAAACCTGTTAAAATATTACAACTTAGCTTTCTAGTTTTAATTGTAATGAAATAAGAGAAGAAATTTCTTAACCAATTTTATGTGCTAAGGCTAATGATTATTGTAGATTTGTTGGAACAAAATGTGTTAATACTTTTCCAAATCCTTGTGATTGCAATAAAAGCTATAGTAAATTATTATGTGACCTTTGTAAATGTGATTATGTGTTCTTAGGTTATTGTTAAAAAAAGGGTAGTTTTTTGCACCCTTAATTAAATTAAGATTGCTCAAATAAATATTATTTATGCTATGAAGTCAATTAGTTTGTCACATTAAATAATTAATAAAAGACTTGCGGTTTAGTTGATTAGGCATGTAAATACACAGATAAATGTGAAGATGCTACTCATTCTACTTGTAATGAATTGATTGATTTGGTTGTATCTTAATAAGCATGTTTTAGATGCACAGGTTTAGCTATGAAATATGATAAAATTAATTAAAAATGTGTTCCTATAGCTCAAAATATAAGTTAATGTGAAAATCTGAATAAATAAGCTTGTCTATCGTTTTCCTATAATATTAAATGTTAATGGCAGAAGTTTCGATCTTAAAAATGTAATTTAAAGAAATATGAATATGGCTGTATTCCAATTTCAAATATCAAAACAACAGATTAATTTGATTGTTTAAGTTTAAATTAGGAATCTTGCAATTAAGAGTAAATAAATTTATGTTGGTTTAATACAGAAAGTAAATTATGTGAAAAATTTAATCCATTAAAAGGAAGATGTGTTTCTTATATGAATTAATCAACTTGTAATTTATCTATGGTTGAATCATGTATATGGAAAGATTTAAAATGTTAAATTGAATTGATTCCATAAAAATGTGAAGGTTTAAATAAATTTGGATGCTTAAATTTCTAATAATTAACTTGTGTTTGGTCTGATACTTTATTAAAATGTGAATTAGCTAAATTCCTTGATAAACCAGAAAGTTGTATTTAATTCTTAATTAATTAATCTGAAATATCACATATGAATGCTTAAACTTGTACTTAAATTAATGTTAATAAAAGTTGTATATTAGCATAAACCTATAAGTGTAGAGAAATATAAGAACCATAACTTTATCAATGTGAAACTTAAGGATTAAATTATAATGCTTGTCTATTAAAAACTAAAAATTCTTGTGCTTTNAAGCATTACTTGCCCTAATGTTGAGATAGTGAATAATTGTCCTAATGAAGTTTTCTAAGCCAATTCTAATTTATATTAAAGAAATAAGCCAAAAATTACAATAAATAGCTTTTGGGAAGAAAAAAACTCATGTAGATTACAAAAATTTTTTACAATATTTGAATATTCGTTTACATCAATTTAAAATCCTTCAGAAACATGCAGAAATTAATTTTGTTCTTATTCTCAATAAGAATTTTGTATGAATGATTATTCAAATCAAATTACTGAAATTTTTTTTGAACTTTCCAATGATTAGCTTAACACACTCGCTTAAGTAACTTTAGAAAATTCATCCAATACATTCAATAATCTTTGTGATACTCAATTCGAACCTCCATATAATTAGATTCTTTCAGATAATTGTATTTAATAAGATAATTATGCTTTAACTCCTTGGTGTATATTAATAAAAAATATTATTAGAGTTTGTCATTAATCCTTTTCATAAGCTCTTTGCGTTGAATTAAATTAAGAAGGATGTTTTTTTGATATAAATTAGGGAGGCTGTCTATATTTAAGAAATAATGAACATAAGATACCTAATTGTTCAAGCATATCAAAAAATAATTGCTATATAAGTTAAAGCAAGAATGCTATTTGTCAAAATGGAATTGTTGTTAAATAGCCAGGCCCTTCTTGTTTGAGTATTTAAAAAGATCAATAAACCTGTTAAAATATTACAACTTAGCTTTCTAGTTTTAATTGTAATGAAATAAGAGAAGAAATTTCTTAACCAATTTTATGTGCTAAGGCTAATGATTATTGTAGATTTGTTGGAACAAAATGTGTTAATACTTTTCCAAATCCTTGTGATTGCAATAAAAGCTATAGTAAATTATTATGTGACCTTTGTAAATGTGATTATGTGTTCTTAGGTTATTGTTAAAAAAAGGGTAGTTTTTTGCACCCTTAATTAAATTAAGATTGCTCAAATAAATATTATTTATGCTATGAAGTCAATTAGTTTGTCACATTAAATAATTAATAAAAGACTTGCGGTTTAGTTGATTAGGCATGTAAATACACAGATAAATGTGAAGATGCTACTCATTCTACTTGTAATGAATTGATTGATTTGGTTGTATCTTAATAAGCATGTTTTAGATGCACAGGTTTAGCTATGAAATATGATAAAATTAATTAAAAATGTGTTCCTATAGCTCAAAATATAAGTTAATGTGAAAATCTGAATAAATAAGCTTGTCTATCGTTTTCCTATAATATTAAATGTTAATGGCAGAAGTTTCGATCTTAAAAATGTAATTTAAAGAAATATGAATATGGCTGTATTCCAATTTCAAATATCAAAACAACAGATTAATTTGATTGTTTAAGTTTAAATTAGGAATCTTGCAATTAAGAGTAAATAAATTTATGTTGGTTTAATACAGAAAGTAAATTATGTGAAAAATTTAATCCATTAAAAGGAAGATGTGTTTCTTATATGAATTAATCAACTTGTAATTTATCTATGGTTGAATCATGTATATGGAAAGATTTAAAATGTTAAATTGAATTGATTCCATAAAAATGTGAAGGTTTAAATAAATTTGGATGCTTAAATTTCTAATAATTAACTTGTGTTTGGTCTGATACTTTATTAAAATGTGAATTAGCTAAATTCCTTGATAAACCAGAAAGTTGTATTTAATTCTTAATTAATTAATCTGAAATATCACATATGAATGCTTAAACTTGTACTTAAATTAATGTTAATAAAAGTTGTATATTAGCATAAACCTATAAGTGTAGAGAAATATAAGAACCATAACTTTATCAATGTGAAACTTAAGGATTAAATTATAATGCTTGTCTATTAAAAACTAAAAATTCTTGTGCTTTTAAAAATTATAAATGTATAAC